GGACCAATTACTAATAGAATAATCATTTTTAGGTAATAAATAAAAATATTGGAATATTGTAATGATAATACCATCCAATTAGAATAATAATAATTATAAGATCATCACAGTTAATAAAAATAAGAATAATAATAAATACAATAATGATAATAAATATCTGGAAGATCATATAACCTAATTGACCAGTCCTATTATAGGCTAGTGACTAATAATCCCAAATGCTATTAGAAACCATTGGACCTGTTAAAGTATCAAATCCACCACCAGATCACCCTTAGGTAATAAGATAAAATTAAATCGATTTTACCTGGAGATGCCTATAATAGGCTAGTGATTAATAATAATAAATCTAAAATAATAAATAGTCTCTTAGGAAGAGAAAAGATCGAATCCTACCATATAAACCCATTGATCATTATGGAATAGAAAGTACCGATCCTATTAATAACTAATTTATTGGTAATGAGTAATAAAATTTATTCATAAGGTAATATCTTGTAATTCCATTATGCCCTTATTAAAAATATTATTATTGATAATTTATTGATAGTCAATCAGTTAATAACATCTTTTTAGCTCTTTTGATTTATTTTTTAAATTATTTTTTATCAGCCTCGTAGGCTTATCGTTGGAATTAATACAATGAGTTATAATGGATAATAAATAAGGATAAAGTAAATGGGAAATGTAAATCAATGAGTGAAAAATGGAAATTACCTTCCTCAACTGAAATGGTAGACCTATCGGAGCATTAATAATAACTATAAAATACGATGTAGTTATAAGGAATATCAATATTTCAGAGGATCTTAGGGGAAACCTATTAAATCATAAAACTAAATGATTAGATATAAAATCGATATCGTTGGATTATAATCGTTCTCTAACTAATAGTCTTTAAAGGATGATAAGAGCATAAGGTGGTAGGAATAGGTCAATAATAGATATGCTAGAAATTATATGTTATAATGCTTAATTCGAGATCGTCGCTTAGGTGAAATAATAAATAAAATGTGATGGTTCGATTCCAATCCAATAAAGCTATAATTATTTCAGACTGCTATCCTACGAGTAATATTATAGGACCAAATGGAATAGAAATATTACTCCAATTATCACGATCATCAATAATAAAGGTAAGGGTAAAATAATTAATAGGTATCATAAGTAAGATAAATCAAAAGAGCTAATGAAAAAGCTAAAATGATAAAAGGTGAGCAATGAGAGTAATAACATTAAAATAAAATGAATAGAAGAAAAGAGATTTTTAGAAATGACTTCATAATTGGTTTAGATATTATTTTCCAGGAGGTGAGATAGTTGAAATTAAATAAAATATTATTGATAATTTATATAATTCCAAATCAGTTAGATTTTGTTACTAATTAGAAAGGAAAGTATATTTTAACTGCAACGATAATTTTAGATGGTACGAGAAGAATTCATGCACAGGATGCAGAATTAGTTCTAAAAAGGATTTTAAATAATATTTTTTAGGATTTAAATTATCGATTTAGAAGTGATGGTATTATCAGAATAATATTACCAAATCGGTTTCCCTGGGTAAATAGGTTTAATTTAAATAATTTTTTAATAGGTGTAAAAGATGATAGGATCATAACAGAACATAATAGGAATTTACTAGAATATAATGTTGAGATCATCAATGATGATGAATTAATAAATAAAATAATAGGTAAAAATCATATGAATAATATAGCTAAAATGCTGCGTGACCCCATTAATAATAAAAAATAGCCTAGGTTCCTAAATAGTAATAAATACTATCACTGTAATATTGACGATGATATCGAAAAATCTTTAATGCGTTTCTATTATTATGATGTGACTAGTCGATTAATTAATATTTTTGAATTATATTTTGATATGTTCGAGTACGAATTTACTCGTATAATTAATGATCCAATCATCAGAAATGAATTATATAATATAAAAAGTTCGAGTACGAATAGATTTTTATGATAAATTTTAAATATTTTTATGATTTTTGCCACTTTTGTCCACTTTGCCACCTTTTGCCACTTTTCATTTCATTAATGTTACTGATCATTTCATTGCTGGCAATATTTTATTATCTTTTTTTCACCCTAAAATTTCATTATTTTAACCTACTTAGTATGTTGTCAACTTTTACTAAAAGTGGCAATCCTAAGGTTTTAGGTAATTATGAAAACATTTTTCTTATTGGAATTCCATTAGCACACACTCAATAAATTACCCTCTCGTGTATTATTAGCTAAATTTCTCCTATTTTATTTTTTAATTATTTATTTTATTAATTTATATTTATCATTATTAATATTTATTTTATTTATTTATCATTTATTCTCTAATGGAATCGAACCTAGTAAATCATCATAAAACCAATCCAATAATAGAACAGCCAAATCCATTAAGATCGTCGCTAATGGTAATATTAAATATTCCACTAATTATCAATTAGGAACTAGATGACTAATAATAAGAATAATAAATAACTGATCATAATTACCTAATAAATTAACTATCTTAAATAAAATAATCCATAAGAGCAATAACCATAAATAATACGTTCACTACCCATAATTTATACCTATCATACCATTACTATGACCGCTAATCTTCGTGGTTACTTTTGGAGTGGTCCAAATATAATATTTATAATAATGGCTTCAGCGATAATTAATAATAGGATTAAATATGGATAGTAAGTTTAGAACCAATGGGTATAATAATAGTAATGATGATACTTAAAATATTGATCATATGATAGGATAGCAAATAAATAGATTAAATCACCATAGGATAATTATATTAATAAAATAATGATCAATCTTGAGAAGCAGATCGCTGTAAGGGAATAAAGAATAGAAGTAAGATGAAAAATAATTAAGGAAAATAAGGTAAAATCTCCACACCCGCTAAGGATATTACAATTGATAAAATGTAATTAATAGAATAATATTAAATATGTTAATAGTTTAATGAATGCATTACTATGATAATATACCCACCGATTTATAAGGATAGAATTTTAGTTTATCTGGAGTTCTATTTAATTTTGGCTGGTACTTATATGATCTTAAGAATTACAGGAAGCGGAGATCATTAAAATATTCCAATGATTTTAAGGAGGGAAAGATCTTTATTAGCTGAAATGAATATTCCATATTAAATATATTGCCACTCCTATTATTTGATTGTTCTTTATGGTATGCCAATTGATTATAACGTTTTGCATATGACCAGTGATCATATTTACTGCTAATGGGTCAAATCGATCTAGTAATTTCAATTGATTATATTAGATTAGAACCCGTTAAGGGTGGTTCCACTGATAATCTTAGGATTTGATCAATTCGTTTATGATTTTGATTATTTTCTTACTTCAATATTTTAAATTATGCATTATGGGAGATATTTGGTTATATCTATTCATCCCTTTCTCTGTCTTACCATCAGCGCATTATTAGGTAATTAGAGATCGTTTATCTGCTGCATGCCTTTCATAGTGATATCCGGATTTTAAATAGATAAATTGATCGAAGGAGGAAGGAGAGGCCTGATAATCAGTGGAATCCTATTTAGCTCCTTAAGAATTGATCCCTTCCTCTAGCTTATTAGATTTATTTTCCCTCCTTAGTAATGCAATCATTATAAATATTACCTAATATTATTTATGGGTGGTATCAAGATCGATAAAAAAGGATAATAAAATAATATGGTTCATTGATAATTAATAAAGGATGGTATAATTTCAGTCATCAACGTCACTATTGGTATTACATAATGGTCTAGTTCTAGTAAATCTATCATTAGCTTGTTTGGTACTCCCTCCCTATAAAATAGATTATTTGATGGTGGATTAATAAATATTACCAACCAATTAAGGGAAGCCAATCATAAATAGGCAATCATACCATGTCCACCACTTAGGATTATTATAGGATAAGCTAATAACAGAGTACCAGTAATAATTATGATACAAATATAGAATATCGATTATGTCGATTAATTAATAGATAAATGAATCATTATTAGCAACTGATACCAGTAATAATAACAGGAAGTGGAGGTATGATAAACTAATTAAGGATGGCACTAATCATAATTAGGGTGCCATACCAATCATAGCTATCAAAGATCCAAACCTAGCAATTAATTTATTATCATTATTATATTTATTATCAATAGCTACGTCTAATTGAACCAACCTTAGCAATATTATTAGAGCATCCTATCCTATAATGGTGGCTAGAGTAATAAAGGGGAGATACGAGAGGTAATGCTAATTACACATAAGATCACATAATTATTAGTAATGAGTATGATGTCTACGGATGGGATACTTATAATAACGATAGGTATAACTAATAGGATAGGATTTATTAATAATAGGATGGGTACAATCATTAGTAGAGCATCGTATCTACCAACCAATCTTAATAAGACAGTTAGTTCTAATTCAATGAAATCACTGCTGCTCCGATAGGTAATACTAGTAAAGGAGTGTGTCATATGATTATTAGTAATAGGTAGGATGTCCATGCAAGTGGATGGTGGACAAAGCATGTTAGTAGCAGGATTAGCGGAGCTATTTTATTATAATTCCAATGGACTCTTGGGTGGTAATGATCTTCCAATAATAGATATCAAAATGAGTTTAAATGAGGTTAGCTGGTACCAGTTCAATTAGAGCATATTGCATTGATGATAGCCATTTTTATTAGTCCATGAGTCTACCAACACCAGCATCACACTGGCTTTACCTTAATACGAGCATCCGTAGCACGAGAACGATCTTATTTTTACTAGCACCCTAAATAACATTTTATTTAGTACCCCGATATTTTTATGATCATCAATATTATACCCATTATTAACGATTATTTGTTCCTCCAACGTGCTCTTCGGGGGTCGAATCTTGGTTTCCAAGTCGATTCGTCATCGCACTTATTCCTCCAAAAATGGCTATCATAAAAATAGGATTAATATAAAACAGGAGACGAGATGGAATCGAACCATCACATTCAGGTAATGAGCCTGACATGCTCGCCTTTACATCATCGATTTTTGGGGTAAGCAAAATAAATATTTATAATCTGGAGACCGATACAAGATAGCCTTTGAGATAGCAATATTTCAATAGAAATAAAAATCCATTAGGACAAAATCTGTCCACAGGTATTGTAGCCAATAATTGGAGTGACTTTAGCGATGCTTTACATTCATCGATTTTAATAGGTCGTAGGATTTACTGGAGTGATCTAGGCCAATGGGTATGGTATGGTAAGCAATGGGATTTGATACCCTATTAGTCGACGATCTAGAATAATATCAATACTATATGGGAAGGAATCGAACCAACTTGAGCCTTTTACTTCATCGATTTTATAGGGAGTGGAGAACAACAGGATAATTGGGAGAGTATCGATCCAATCCATTAAATAATTAAATAAATAATGAATAATAATAATAAGGAAATTCATAAGGGGTTGACTGGAAGATCATAAGGACTAAATCAAATAAACCAAATGGACTAATAATATTAGGTAAACTAATTGGAGAGGACTAGCCAGACATAATAAGTATCATTGCATTTCTATTAAATCACCATTTGGTTTATTTTTATAAGTATAATTAATCCGTTATGATCATAGGCCTATGATAAATATCTCACATTATCTGGTATACTATAATGATCCGATCGTTTACATCATCAATATTTAGGGTATCTAATCCTATGATCAAAATCAATTAGTTATTAACTGATAGGAATTATTTATAAGGTAGCCACTAATTATGGTATCGGAGTACCTAATATTTCTTATGGCTTTTTGATGATAAGAATGGGTGTGTCTGCTGTAATATTACAATCTATTGCATTACCCGCTAAAGTTGATACAAAACTAATAAAAATAAAATAATAATATTATTATGGGGAAGTTCTATCAATAATAGGATAGGTATGAATCAATTAGGGCAAAGGAATGAATTACATCGCATTAGATTAGATACATACTATAAAATAGCTTTAAAGACATTAGTTAGTAACTATAAGGATATTAGATTAGCAGGAAATTAATTTGCATTACGTAAAAAATCCCACGCGGAGATTGTGATTCTGGCACAGAATGCTGATACTGGATAGTATATCAACTAGTGGATTTGGCTTCTTATCAGTAGAATTCCTAGGAATTTAGATTATATGAATAATAATGCCATGTGCAATAATAAAAGCTTAGAAATATCTTTAAGATGGATCCCGATAAAAAATCTTAAGAACGGCTGAAATATTTTTTGGGGTAATCTCAAAAATAAATCCTCATAATAATAAGATCGCTATTACACCGAATCATAATAATATTTCTGGGGATTTCAGAATATAAGAATATTGATAAATAAAAGATCATAAAATGTAATTAAGGTAATTATAACAAATAAGGATACGCAGAGAATTATCCAGTAAATCCTCCAATAGTAAATAAGCATAAAAATAGGTAAGATCATAAAAATATCTCCAACTAGTATAATATTATTAAAATATCTTCTAATGCATTATAATTAATAATAGGTATAATAATAACTAATGTCTTTAAATGAGGTAAATAAGGAAGGTAAGACAGGATATGGCTACGAGGTATAATCCCAATCGTATATTAATTATTATTATAGGTAATTATGATTGGTACACCTGATTAATAGGCTCTAAAGTAGAAGATAGCAAAGAATGGCACAGAAGAAGAAGGAGTGGGAGAACAACAGGAATAATCTGGATAATTGGAGAGTAATAAGATGAGGATAACTAATAGCTTGTTGATACCAAATAAGGAAGCTGAGGATAGCAAATGTCCAAGAGATTAAATTGATCCACCACTTAGGATAAAATTGAGGCATCCCCTACAGAGTAACAAAAAATATGATAAAAATCAACGGGTAGGATTTGAACCGTACAGGTGAAAAATCCACTCCAAACAAATAATGATAAATTAGTTAGAAGAGCATAGAGACTTAGAATGAATAGGGACCTATCCTAAGGGACTATAAATCCATCGAGATAAACCAATTGCACCGATCATCAGAGCCAACATGAGCGGTAAAATCATTTCATCCTTAGGCGGAGAGCAGCTGGCTGCCAATAAGGGTAGAACATCCAATTACAATAGAGACTAATTGCACTAAATCGATCGGATAAATTAATAAATATAACAGCTGCAAATAATGCATATAATCCCGAAAATTTAATTTTTTAATCGATGCCAACACATGTGCTATTTTTCTAAGTTATACCCATTATTGTATTGATATTACCTATGATATCCAATCAATTCTTAAGGAACTCTAAAACGATTATAGGATTAAAGGCATGAAGACCATCAATATTACCTTATAATGAGCCTGATATGCTATAGGGGGGGGCAAGGGGTAAATCATATTAGTACTGAACCGATTAAATGATGTAAGCGACTGGAAGATATGATAATGATCCATCCGAAACT